GCCATGAAACAGCTTGAAAGATCAAAGACCATTTTTAATATAACTCCGACTGGATTCGTCTGAAAGAAGAAAGTCATATACACCTAGGATGACTTGAGGGTGAGTAATTTATGGGCTAATTTTCATTTTTGGGTGAACTAACCCTTTAAGTTAATTTTCGGGTGTTAATTTCAAACCCTGATAGTAATATTTTCAATCTTGTTTAGTTAGGTTAGTGACATTGTTTATCACTTTTAGACTTTATTTATTTTTTGTCATCCCATTTAGAACTCCATTCGCCACAATTTATCGCTCCACAACAAGTTCCTGCGAGTGCACAATGAGTCGACTGGAAAGAGCTCTTGGTGGATACTCAACCCTGAGGGGGGCAAAACCGGCAAAGCCCCTCGCCGCCGTGCCGCCTCGATGGACAACAGCAGCAAATTGCTTAAAAGCCATATACGAGCAAAGCAGACTAAAAAGCAGGCCGGAGCAGCTGGGATCGGAGGCTCTGGAGGTGCCCTGCAGGGTGAGGGTGCCTCCGGCACTGGCGGTGCGGACAGTCCCGGGCCTCCAGGTCAGTTCGGAAAGTGGGGAGTGAACAGCAGCAGCCCTTCCTCTCGCGGCAGCCTGGACGACCCGGACATGTGGACGAGTTTCAGGCCACGTACAAGCTCCAATGCCAGCACGCTGAGTGGGAGGCTTTCTCCCATTGCCACGGGGCAGGAGGACGAGGATGACCTACCTGAGGACGGCCTTCTTGGTGGCTATTCTGCAGGGAATCTTCCCCCAACACTAACTGAGACGCTAATGGAAGAGTTGGATTTGATTGATGGGCTAACTTTAATGACAGGTCTGCAAGGTGGTGCGAGCCCAAGCACAGCTCCTCCTGCCCCACCTCAGCCTTTGCCCTCGGCATCCACCCTGCTGCCTCGAGGGTCCAGCTTTCCTTCATTTCAGCAGCTGCAGCCATCAAAGGTTACACAGGGATCCACTCCGCCAGGGTCGCAGAGCTCTGTTCAACGCAGCGCCGGATCCAGTACAAGCCAATCAAGCTTCGGAAACTCGCTCTTCAGTCCTCTGCCCGGTCCAGGTCACAGTGGTTTTAGCACTCACGTGCCCTCCAGCCTCGAAGTGCTCCTGACCTCTGATTCGCCTCCTCCCAGCGATGTTATGATGACCCAGATGGATCCTCTCATGCCGAGCCAAGGAGGTGGCGGGCTTTTGGGGCTCGGGGGATCTATGTCCAGCAGCCAAGCTAAGGCAGGTCAGATGTTGCTGAGCAAAGGCATTGACACAAGCGCAGTGGGGCAGATGAGCCTCCAGCCTCAACCCCAACTTCAGCACTCACAGATGGGCTTTGGAATGATGCACTCGGCCATGAGCCAGGAACCGCCTCAGCTTGCAGCTATAAAGACCCAGCATCAGGTGCCAGGCGCTGGGCTTCTGCAGCACGGAGCTGTCCCATCACCTGGTGGGAACGGAGGCCTGCAAGGTCTAGGCCAGTTTGCAACACCGCCCTGCTTCATGCCCTCTCAGGACCGTCTGCCTACAGACTTGGATATCGACATGTTCACTGAAAACCTGGACTGTGATGTGGAATATATTATCAACAGTGATCTTATGGATGGAGACCTGGTTGACTTCAACTTTGACCCCATTATACAGGGTGGACAGGGCTATACTGGGCCAGCAACCACACAGAGCGCCTCCCAGAACTGGGTGCCCAGCTAACTCCATTATTAAAGATGATAACAGGTATTTTAATTTTGGTTTGTTTTAAAAAGACAGTTCACCCAAAAAATGAAGTTTTACCCACCCTCATAACGTTCTAAACCCATCTTATTTTCTTCATGTGAACACGAAAGAAGACTACGAAAATGCTCTGCACTGACATTGAACGTCAGTGGGATCCAATGTTGTTTTGGACCCCATTGACTTTTTCATTTTAAGGGCAAAAAAAAAAAAAGCATGAGGATGAGTAAATGATTATCTCTTTTTAATGAAATATTCTTTTAGTTTCAATTATGGTTTTACATTATTCTTTATGTGAAACTATTCCTTATTTTGTTCCAATGTGTTAATCCCTTTTCTCATTATTTATTTACAGGATTGTCCCCATCCATAAGACAACTTTTAAAAACAGATGTGGCACATTGCCTGAACATATTCTCAAATTTTTGCCTCTACATTTGCCATTGTACCTCAAATACACAAACTGCTTTGGCTAAGGACAACACACACTTGACCAAGAAGTCTCGTGTCAGAATTCTCAATTAGACGACTAAATCAAACCTCATACATGTCAAGTGCCAATGTCAACTGAAGAGTGTGCTGTTGGACACAGAGATCATGGTCTTGAAACATATATTTTCTCTTTTCTTTTGTCTTATATGTGCAACATTATTATTATAATTTTTTTTTTAAGTTGCAGTTTTTGGTCAATCTTGGACTAAAGAAGCACACCTAATAAACAGCTAATCATGTTTATTACATTTATGCCTATGATGTGTAAGATGGAGATGGTACTCCTCCTTGATCTTCTTCAACCTGATAATGGAACTCATTCGGGCCAGGAAGATCAAACTGCAGCTTTTCTTGATGTGAACTTTTGTTTGTTGAACAGCAATGGAGAAAGTCCGAGCAGCCGAGATCGATGGAGTGGCTTTCACAGCTGACCTGACCCCCTCTGAGCATGAAAACAACATGGCACCACAAGAATGTTAAGTTGAGAACAATGTTGAGTGGCGACGGTTTCACTGACCACAGAGCACGGCTGAACTGTTAAGGTGTGCTCGCTCTCTCAGTGGTATGAAGCCTCAAAGTTTCAAGGTGGTTTGGTGACGCTGTGGTGTTCAGTGTGCAGTTAGTTTGGCTTTTATGACCTCTGCTCTCACAAAGGTGTTTTCTTGTGATGTGCTGAAGAGGCTGATAACTGAATGATGATTTAACTGTCTGCTCCTTAAGTGTTTGTTAGTGATAACAACAGTATGAAGAAATGTGATTTTCCACAGGGCATTTTTAATCCTGCCAACAGGTTAAATGGTATAGTGTTATTGTTGGAAACTCGGAACCCTTTTGCAGAATGCAATATCTGAAGATTTCTTTTGTGTGTGTGTGTTTGTGTGTGTGTGTGTGTGTGTGTGTGTGCAGGAGGGTGTGTGTGTGTGTGCAGGAGGGTATGTGTGTACATTTGTGTGCCTGCAAATATGTTTAATGCTCCCGAAACTTGATTCCAACACACTGACAACAGAATTCAAGGTTACGCTGAATCATTTCAATTAAGCGCAGAAGAAAGTTGGTTTTAGGAGTTGTATGAGAGTTTGAAGCGAATCTTGAAGAAACATGGCTACAATAATGAGATGTTATGGTTCCTCTGGCATGTTTGACTGTGTCCACAGACGCACAGAAGAAAAACAATTTTCTCATTGTTCTGTTTTTCATAAACAGCACTACTCCTATTTTATAAAAAAAAATGTTATTAAAGAACAAAAACAGTTGGGTATATCAACTATAATTCTAATTTAGATTGGGGCGTTATCATTAACAGACTATTAAGAAAACTTGCTGTTGAGCTTTTTTAAATCTGAGCAGAAGCTATTTCAGATCATTTTTAACGGTCATTTTCTATGTAATCTTTTATTTTTGTAAAAGATGAAATGCATATAGATTTTATACAATAACCAAAGGAACACTAAGAACTGCATGTTGGATGGACGGATGCATTGCAGTGCGGATAAGCTTTACGAAACCTTTCTGAAAAATCTGTGTAAACTAAATCCTAATTTGATTGATTGAATGAGTACATTCAAGAGAATACGGTTCATTAAGAGTTTAAATTTGCTATAATTGTTTGTGCTAAACAGGAAAAAAAAAAATAAATAATAATTATATATATATATATAAATCTTGATTTGCTAGGTTGCTTTTTAATTGTCTAGGCAATGATTTCATCTCAAAACGCAAGACTGGTCCAACCCAAAATGATTAATGCAATGTTTCACTCTCAGGGTTATGAAAAATAATAATTAAAACAACTTCTGGAAGGAAGTAATAAGATAATCATGTTATGACTTCAATGCTCATAGCCTTTTCTAAATTATGAATGTCATTTATGCAAGCCAATGTCACGTAGATATTTTAACACTGCAGAAATATATCTAATGTTGCAGTTTATTATGAGAGATTTATCTAATGTATGCATTTGCAGAGTTCCTACAAAACTTTGTAAACTGCCAATGAACACTAGCATGTCGCTCCAGAGAAAACCAGACAGTTTTAAAGCCCTTTTCTTTTCAACTTGTACCTTTTCTGTAATAGAAGGGTTGACTTTTATTTAATTATTTGTTCAGATGGTTTTTGCGCAGTTTAAAACCAGCATTCTTTTGGTGTATAAATTGGCTTTAATTTGAAAGCTTGATATTAGTAACTCTTAATCACATCAATGTAGTGGTCTGAGCACATTAGATTACTTGATAAAGTGCTCTCTCCTTACAGAGAAATAATTTTAATCCTATTCACCGGTGCTAGATATTAAATATGACAATTAAAGAGGGCCATATTTGATTGGTGCATATGTAGATATCAGGGCCTTTAATAATTTTATGCAATGCATATGGAGTACAATTTCTTAATGTAGAACATAGTATGAGAAATTTACTTAATTCCCAAACTCTCAGTTTTTGTGTATTATAAAAGAAGCTGTGAATGGGGAGGGAGGGGCTTGTCCATCTCACCACATATTGTGCACCTCACAAATGGTGTAATGTTTAATACAGCGATTGATGATTTTCAATCAACCGTTTACATCGATGTGCTTGTCTTTTGGGGCATCTTTTCTCATGTTTTTTATGTTTGTACATGTAAATCAGCTCCTTGATGTCTAAGAGTGATTGTTATACCTGCATGGTACATCTTTCAGAAAGCTTCGGGGCTGACAGTCACCTTTGACGTTTTCCTGTGTCATTTGAGTGTTGATTTGAAAGTGAATTTTCATGGTTAAGACCCTGGCTTTGTTTAATTTCTGAAAGTACAGATATTGAATATCGTTTTCGTCCCATCAGACAGACGTCACAGGGCTTCTGCATGAAATGCAGCTATTCCACACCTTCCCTCTTTCCAAATCACTCTCACTTTTCTTGTTTGATATTATTAGCCTTCTTCCTTTAGTAGTCATTCTTTAGTTCCTTTCATTTTCCAGGAGAGTTTGCTAAGTATCCCAGTTAATAACAGAACATTAGTTTATGGTCTGGGTTGGGTTTTTCTCTCTTTTGTTTTTGGTTATATGACAGGATGTAAAACTGACGAGTTGTGCATAGCCAATATACTGTATATGTACTTGATTGCTTTTTTTTTTTTTGCTCAATTAATTTTGTTCCCCCATATTATGTTAGTCAGAGGTCATTGAAAGCAGTTCAGCATAATAGAAATAAACCTGATCTGTTTAATGCAGACTGTTTTGTTAAGTTGATTTTGTCATTGGTACATTAATTTGACATAAGCAGAGGTGCAGGGCATTCATTAAACTTAGACCAGCAGATTAAGCACTAGTAAACATGATTCACACCATTGTATATAACATGTTGTATATAAAAAAAAAGTTTACATAGGCTACTCAAGAGTAGCCATTCATACTAAATGTCAATTTAAGTTAAATCGAAATGAAGTGTTCAGGGAAAATTATCGACAGCATGTGAAACATACAGAAATTAGTTTTCCGATTTACTTGTCCCTCGTTTTCTAGCTTAAATCTGGGTTCCAGTGAGTCCGGTTCGCAGCAATAACGAAAACTGTAGGCTACTTTTTAATTATTGTTCTAATTTCATACGAATAGGGAAGCCACAGCACAGCTATAACGATAACGACGCAGAGGAACGATATCTCGGAATCGCTCTAAACATATAAAGCGTTATACTACATCTAACAAACAGAACGTTACCATTCTTGGTATGAACGGGCCTTTACAGTGTGAATGAATGAATAGGGTCAATCCGTAGGCGTTAAAACACTCACTGTTGTTGTAGCTACTAGATGTAAATAATACACGTTAACATGACTTAAGAGGGGAAAAAAGTTCTAACCTTTTCTGTGTGAAATTATATCCAAATGTACAACTTTGTCCACAGGTCAACGCAACTCCACCAATTGTCACTGGAGGTCTGTTGTCCCGTAGAATTAGGTCCAAACTTGATCTAACTCGCCTGTCTGTAATTGTCTAGTAATCCTGAAGACAGATGAGTTTGAGAGAGGTTAGATCAAAACCAGGGCTGTCCAAACTCGGTCCTGGAGGGCCGGTGTCCTGCAGAGTTTAGCC